ACTACCTGTAATAGCAATCTTACAAAATAATAATCCCCAAACAATTTATTGTTACAAAATTTTGGTATTGGAGAGTAAAAGTTAAGAGTAAGACCTTTGAAAAGATCTCTTTCTATGTTCATTTGGCAATACCTCAGTGTAAACAAGATAATTCAAAGCCGTGGCATATTGCCAAAAGTTGTATTAGGTCCACTTCGCACCCTATAATCCGTAAGTGACGCTATAGCCAATGTTGACATTAACGTTGGATCGCTTTTAACTAAAAAATCGTGCTCTAAACTTTATAATATTCACTAGAACAGCAAAGTTGAAATTATACACYTTTCTTGCCTCTCATTTTCATATATAAATTTTCAGCTGAGTCAGCTGTTCTGTAGCCGATATCTTTGATAACGATAAAGGAGAATTTTTGAACATTCRTGAGCTCCCCCGAATCCCAAGCGCATTCCAGAGGAAGGAAGATATTCGCAAAATCGAGTTTTTGTGCTCAGAATATGACTATTCATCACTTCCCAGTTTATATTATTATGAAAATCTGTATTCAAAATTATTTATGGTATATTCGATGAGCCCAATTTTCGATTACTTTTTTCATGAATAGTATCACGTTCAATTTTGGCTTCTAAAGCGCAAAGTGAGTCTACTTCAAAACACTGTCATTAGTGTTTCGTTAAGGAATTTATAAGTCTTTTTCAAAAATAAGAACCAAGCTAGATATAAATTATTCGAATATTTAAACTAATGGTTTAACCTAGATTTTAAACCGTGGTATGAATCAAAAAACGTAAACAATCACATATCTGAATATAATATTTGGATTGCGGAAATAAAACACATTATAGACTAAATAAATAATTACACAAAAGAAGCAAATATCAACTTGAGGATACCAAAAGAGAATGCCATACCCGAGCATGGTCGACATGTTCATATCAACAAATATAAGAATTATACTAAATCCTTTCAACTGGTTAGTCCAGTGTCATGGAATATTCACATATTTTTACTTACGTTGATAAGGACCTTTATATACTCGTATTTCKGCAAAGAATTTATTTTATTAACAAAAGAACCATTAAAATGTATCTTCAGTACTAAGTAAAGATATTCTACAGTAGATAAACATATATGTACATATATTTTCAATATCTGCTTTATATATAGAAATTTAAACTTATTAACAAATGTTTTCTTCTCATCCATTCTACCCCCAACAACCATAAAAACAACAAAAATATCGCGATAAAAACACCTTTTAATCTCCACTGGTGCACGAAACGCACGCTACAACAAAAACACTGCTTGTAAACGAAATTTGCTTGCGTYGTCACACTAATTGGACTGTTGCTGTTATGATATTGCCAATGATGACGATGATGTCCTTAACTAATAACAACAACAACGACAACCACAACATGATTCGTTCGATGCTCGGACACTGGTAAATCCAAATTTGTACGAAAACTCTACAACGCATCGATAAAAACCACTACAACAACAACAAACGCAACAACATAAATTGGCTATAACTGTAATGGTGTGCCAAAACGTATGATATGGTCTGTAAATGTACGTTGTGCCGCACCGGAAACACACAACACACATCTATACGCACCAACCCTACGAGCAATTGAACACACAACAACAACAACACACTGTCATATTGGCTAATGAACTGCGCGCTGCTGCATTTCGGTCACGAACTTCTCATGCCAAACAAACTGTCAAACTGTGCACGCCACACGCTCACAACTCATGTTCGCATATATATTTCTACTCATATATATATATATATATATATATATGTGTGTGTGTGTGTTTGGTTTTATGCGTCGTGCCAATTTCTTATGCCAACACCAATGCCGGTGTCCTTACGCTCACCTCAATGACGACGGCGATGACGATAATGAATTGTCTGTTGGCATTCACATGGCAAAAACAACAACAAAAATATCGCCAACTGTTCCTTGGGCTATACTTATGTCAACAATAAATCACCTGCTTGGATATCTTAACGTCACCACCGGGACTCCACCTCACCGGCTTCGGCACAWATCTCTGCTATTGTCGTGCACTCATCTTGGACACTTGGCTCTTGGCCGCTGCCTGTTATCCGCTTCCCTCAACTCAATCGCCAAAACACTCAACACGCAACCACCGCAAACCACCGAAATCAACACAAACCACTCAAACTCGACTTAACCCTCTGCAATGCCGTCTGAATGCCGTTATTGCCTACAACCACACTTCCTTTCGGCCGACGCATATAATCTCTCTAATCTGCCGGCAACTACAAATGTGCTAATCAACCGCTCACACCATCAACCACCCTACGACAACACTACTCCACCCCGCTGCACCACCTTTTTGCAACTGCCGCACGCCACAGGCGAGGTTGGCAAGGAGATGTACATAGTGAATCGCGGCCGTCTGCAGGTGGTCGCTGACAATGGGAAGACAGTGATGGCTTCACTGAAGGCAGGTTCCTATTTTGGCGAGATTAGTATACTGAATATGGGCACAGCAGGTAAAGAACTTGGTAAATATCAGTTTTAGTGCGCCAGGCGGAACAATATACACGTAAATAAGAATATAAATTTTCTTTTCGTGAAATTTGTGCGATTCCTCCTAACAGTTGTTGCCCATGCCCCATATACTATACACAGCAAACAAGCCAAATGTTAGAACTATAAAAAAATACGACACAACCATTAAGTTTTCCAACAGTCCCTAAGGCATCTTTAGTAGCTTCATACACAAATCCAAAAAACAACAATACAAAAATAAATGTGTYTGTATCCCTCCTTAATTTGCAGTTAAAATGCAATTTGATGTTGCCTGTGTATGTTAAAGTAATTATTTGTAATTCGGAGATATTTTGAACTAGTTTTTACCTTAAAATGCCAGTTTTATTTCCTCTCCTCTCTCGATGTTGTGCAAATCGTAGTTAATCACATACAGTCTCCAATTACAGTTTAATAGCACAAAGTGGCAAGTATGATAACGRAGCCAATTACATACCTACATGAACAGGGTGACGCAAAATTGCATGAACATTTGTTTACTAAAATTTTTGTCGAAACAAAATTTTTTATAAGTTCAACTAACTGTTGAATAAGCTTACAACTTTTCAGCTAAATAGGGTTATTCAAAATTGTATGTATTGAAACGTGATCTTTTCTTTCTTATTATAACTCTTCTTTCGAAAAGTTTTGAAACAACTTAGTTCAAATAAATATTGTACCGGTTTTTCAGAAGAGAATCCTTCTACTACGAACGATCGTTAACAGTGTATTTAGAAACTTTCTTCACATCAATTCAAGCGAAAATCGTAAATATACTGCAGAATTTGTACACACTTTAACGCGAAACAAATTTTCCCAGAGTTAGGCAATTTTTACTAAAAAATAACCTTACTTTTAAAACTCCAACGCATATCTCCAGAACAAGTGAATCTTTTCACAATATTMCTTCAATACATTTTCGTTTCATTTTAATCAATATGTCTTCTAATTTCTTTAAAAGCTGTCGAACTCATATAAATATCTCTTATTTGTAAAAAAAATTAATAAATCAAATGTATTTTCACGCCAACCTGTTCTAAAACTTTAAACGCTACCAGAAAGCCCGTCAGAAATATTACATAAAACAAAAACAAATTACCCATATTTGACTAGCATGCGATAAAGCGAGAATCTTTACATATTCTTATGACAGCAAGTGACACTTTCAACTTACACACGCACACATACATATGAACAYTTATCGTAAAACGTTACTATACCGAATGTATGCCATAAGTAAGTGTGATATTTAATTTTTCTAGATATGCTATTAATATTAATTTTTTATATGTTTATTTGTGCAAAACTTCGTTATTTGGCTTTTATTTTATTAGATAAGTTCAAATCTCAAATAATTTAGAGAGTACTGCTTGCGTACTCTGTCAATAGTTTAAGCATCTAAAAAAATAGGATATAATTCGCTATTCTAGTATATTGTTATAAATCACACTAAATACACTCATTTACATATACAAGTCGCTCGACTTCGGATAAGTACCTCGTTCGCAATATAGAACGTTGATCGCCTTTCACATTGCATTGAACGGGACTCGTACGTCATCGCAGCGTATCTCTATTAGAATATTTTCTCAATCTAAGATCACGTCTAAAAAGTTATTTTCATTTTTAAAGTAAACAATSTGATGAAGATCTCAATTAGATCCTTGGAAAAAATAGAAATTAACTTTGTTTACTAATTTCACATAAGCTTTCAAATATTCTTAGCTCACTTAGACACAAATGAAAACGAATTGCTAACGAATGCTTTTAACACCTAAACCTACCTCAGATACATAATGTTATAGAAATCAAGCTAAGATGAATTGATCTCCGGATATCGGTAAAATTTTTATGCAAGAAATAATTTGATAAACAGTTATAAGCTTGTTAACTGCACATTTTATATATTTTATCTTTAGCAGTTAAAGCTTTCATTCAATTAGAATAACTTGTTAAAATCCTCGACAAATTTTTGAAATTCGAATGGTGTTATWATGCTCCGATTTGTGATGAAATTATTTTGTTTTTACCAGAGTCTTCGCTTTTTATATTCCTGCCGCAGAGAACAAGGTACGAGCGATCTAGCTTGAGCACATAATCCACATTACCGTCCGTAGATTGTAACATATTTCTACGTATTAATGATGATACGATTTTTAAAGAAGTCGGCAGAGATGAGCCTTCTGAGGATTTCCCGATCATTTTCACATTTTTTATTTTTGAGAAAATAGTTAAAATAATAGCAATTTTTCAACCAAATGTAAAAATTCACAAATAAGTCATGTATATTGAAGTAATATGAATATGAAATTGATTTGAAGGATAAATACACCGACTACAATGAGAATTAGGCCGACGCATACATATTAAGCCGGCTCGTTATTTTTTATAATGAAGTACCCTTTTCATACCCAAATATTTAWAGGTAATTTTTTCGGCCATTGAAATTCATAACATCAAATTTTCAAATTACTATATCGAAATAAAAAAAACTACGTTTTTAATATTTTGCCTCAAAGAACAAACCAAATGTTTTGTACGAAAAAAATTTTGAGCATAAGTTTTAAATGAAAAAAAAAATTCGATCTTTAACGATTCCCTCATCACTTTCTCAGAAACTGAAATAGCCTCTACTCTTCTTATGACAGAATGCTGCTTGTTGCACATTTCATATCTTCTTGATGAACGAAAATTTAATGGATTTTAAATAAGTGCTTGTTTCCACGAAATAYGCTTGCTATTATTGTGAAGTCAGAAGTGATTACTTAAATTGTGCTTTCATAAACTCTCTTMCAATTACTAGGATTAATTGCTTTGATTTTATTTTTTAACTGAAATATAAATTGATCGCTTAACTAATATAATTTGCAAAGACTTAAAGCTAATAGAGAATAAAGTTTGATTGATCCATTTTATGACAAATATATGCTATTGTGCTCGAACTCATAATGACTCTGGTCCTTATTTTCAAACAACATCTTCTGAAGCTTCTCTAGAGCCGAATTCTTCACCTAAGTTATTCACTACAGAGTGTTTATCTGGTGCTAAGATGTTACTACAAGTAGGATGCGCTGTCCTCGTGGAACGTTCTTGAATAGCGCAGGTTAGCAGCTTCTAAGCAGTTAGTTCTTTCATAAGGTCTAATTATTAGCAGTACAGCTGCAAAGAGTTTGGCCGTAGCTAAGCAGCTCATAGTTTATGATTCTCTGCCAACCCCACCAAATAAATTGGTAAAGCTTCGTGGCCGTCAATCCGAGCTTAGCTATTGAATTTCCATTTGACAAAGAGTGACTTCGCTTGACGTTGCTCGAAGTGAATTACTTCTCACCATCAGTTGGAGAGATACATTTTGTTTCGCGATTAGCCTATTGAAATTCGGTTTTTAAGGCTTTTCTGCATAATTCGTGTGACACTCCATTGAACTTCTATTTTTCTGCAAAATTGAACTTTTTCAATTTTATATGCCTACGAGATCTGAACTTTAAGCGCTGAAAATATATTTTACACTATATATTATACTATACATACATACACACGCATAAATGTTTGCGTTTAAAGATAATTAAGCGTTATAATTATTGTTATTAAATCGTGCATTAACTTACACTAACATATACATATATACAACTACAGCTGCAGCTGTTTAAGCCATCCAATGAGTGAATGTCAATCCCGAAATAATCGWGAAATAACTGCAATTTAATTGCATTATAATTACAGGCGCAAAGTGCCGAATGCGCTACAAAAGCAGGTTCAATCAAACACAAGTAATTGCTTTTAACTTCACACATCGTGCATATATCCTTACTATATACATACATATTATTATATATGTATATATATACCAWATATAATGACCGACACACACACATGAATGCATAGCCAAGTGCTTGTTTGTGTGCGTGTGTGTCGGCAGTTGTCAATGCTGTTGTAGGAACACAGCGTTTGYGGTTTGTCCTTGCTGCAGCGCCTACACACACACACATATTAACATATTTTGTATTCGCGCCTCATTTGCTGATTCTCTTACAACTCGTAAACTCGCTCATTATCAGTTTGCAATTAATATTGATAGCAATAATAGCAGAAATCGAATTATAAACGAATAATTTCATTTCATATTAAAATGCAGCAATGCGCGCCGCCGCCACTTTCAGCTTGTTGTTTATCTAAGTGTGTGCGTGTTTTTGTATGTGTGAGTGTTTAGCGCATAATTTCCGTTCATAAAATATGTGAAAAGCATTGTTGGCGGGTGAATTTTTTACTCCCACTCCCCGCCTTTTCGAGGAAATTAATGAAGTTTGCAGAAYTTTCGTTGAATTGACGCAATCGATTGTAATCAGCGAGAGATAATTGTGGTCCCTTTAACATGAAGCACACAAGTTTGCATACCTTTGCAATTTTGTTAGTRTTATTATTGAAAATGTTTAATTATATTTTAAATTTAAAGCTTTAACAATGCCATGCAGCGCTTTGTAAGGAACCAAAACACGGTAGTGGAGAACGCTGGAATGAGAACTGTTTAGGTTAGGATAAGTACAACGCAGGCATRACCTAACAAATAATTACTTTAATTGGTCTAGGCTTAAATATAATTTACTATAATATTTMTTTTCATTTTTATATAATATACATTGTCACCTAAAATTCAAAACAACTCACCATCAAAATAAAAAAATCAAAAGAACAAATAAACTGGAAAATCTCTGCCAGATATAATAACCAATATCTAACCATTTTATAACCAAAACTCGAATAAACTATAAATAATATTACATATACCGTCACCTAAAATTCAAAACAACAACACTCTACAATCCCTGTCAGGTATAATAACCAGAATATAACCAATACAAAACCATTTTATAACCAAAACTCAAAATTTGTTTCAATATGAGGGGTTTCTATTATAACGTTTTTACTTCGCCTGTAAACTTATGAAAAATGATGTTACGTTATTTTGCATTATAGGTCGTTTGGATTATTTTTGATGTAATAGAGTTAGATACAATAATTATCGTCTTCAAAAATAATAAAACTCAAAGCACTGTGTAATTAAAAACTTACTACAAAGAATCGGATTTCTCACGAGTTCCGTTTTAACACTCGCAAAATATTTTKATCGGGCGATCGCGTTATGTTGAATAGTCGAAAAAGTATTTTCGTATTTTGTCAGTAGTTGTCGTTGCAGTCGTAAATCCCCAGTGCTACCAATCAYATTGTGTCATATCATATAATGTTGGAAGATTTCAAGCTTTATTCAGCCAAAAAAAAAWTAAATTCGGAGAAGTTGAAAAAAAGTTGYAAATGTGCAAATATGAGTGAAAATAGTGAAGAAACTYGCTGCATTTTGAAATTTTTGTATAAAAAAGGGACAAAGCCACACAAGCCACCAATGAAATTTGTGAAGTTTACAGCGACGATGCTGTATCAGTTCGYGTAGCACAACAATGATTCACTGGTTTTCGTTACAGAAATTTCGATTCACACTGATGGAATAATGTCTTCGACCAAAATGTCGAACATAAAAAAGTTGAAAGTTTATTAAAAATAGGAAAATACTTTTTCAACTACCCAATATGAAATAGGTATACCTTTGAAATACAGTATTCTAACACGATAAATAATGTTTCAAAATAATAGCTGTGAAAGTAACGACATATGAGCTTCTTACGGCACAATAAACCATTAGTCGCAGTGCAAAGCCTCAATTTTCTATCTAAGGACATATGTTTGACAGTTATGCTATGAAAGGCTGCCATATTTTACATAACTGTTTCAAAAAAAATCAAAAAATGTTTCACAGTAATTTTTATCAATTGTGAACGTATTGAATAAAAGGAAAAATAATCAAAAAAATTCCGGCGATGCTATGTGCTTAATCCTGCAAACGCAACAGGCGGCGGCATACACTTGAAGAGATACAAATTAAATTGAAACAAATGTGCGACGCGTCAACCGGCCGTAAAAATGATTGCTGCACAATGACGGAAGTCCGGCCAGCGATTTCGTCGCAATTGTTTTTATATTGTGCAGGTGCTTGCTATTGTTGTTTTAGCGCTGCTTGACACTTTATTCTCATTTGCAAATGGGCTGGCACATTAATATTTTTAATTAATTAATTAATTTTACAATGCGGGCGGGTGGGTGTGTCTGTGGTGAGAAACGTGCATGTGTGCTGTGCCGACAATGTGCAGGCCTAATGTGCAATTATTGCAACATTAAGTATGTATGAGAGCACACAGCATATACATATACATATACATATATACCAATGTACATGTTTAAATATGTATGTATATAGCAATTATTGCACTTGCGTTGCATGTAGGGTGTCCCTTGCATTAATGAAAGCAGCCGCAAGTACTGAAACAAAAGCTGTTGACGCGGTCATCACAGCTCTGTTTTATCGGGAAAAGCCAGACTTTTATATTCATGCCTATAATAGCTGTAAAATTTTAATTAAATGCTTTTAAAACCTTTTGCAGAAGTAAACTCTTTTAGGTCGGTTATAGCCGAACTTACAACCCTTTTCGATCAGTATTGGATTTTTTCTGTTAGTTTGACAATCGTTTTGAGATTTTATCCATTGATGATGCAGTATGCAATGCATTACTGCGCACCAGACTTTAAATACACACATTGTCGGCCTTCAAACAAATTAGCAACTCCTGGCTTTCATAAGATAGATTTTATGTCAAAGAACAAAAGGAACTGTTGCGTGCTGAGTGATATTCTAAACATAATAAAGATTTTGAAGAAAATTGGGTATACTATATAAAAGAAGTTTCATTTTTTCTATAGTTTTAGTCTGGGAACAAATCGGGTACAAAGGTCTCTGATTGCCATTCACTTGGGAGAGGSCAGAAACGATTCTTTTACATATGGCTCAATTAGCTCACGACTTCTGGTTTCGACCAAATATCCTCTGGGTAGCCTAAGAACAAAAGCCAGTTTGTATTCATCAATATATGGTTTATTGTACCTCATCTATTTAGGTTAGTTATAGTAAATCCATTAGCCTTGTACATGTACGCCATATTTTTCCCCAGTGACTGAAACAATGCGACTTCGTCATTAAACCTGTCACATATAAGTGTATTTCCCCAGTGTGAATCGGAATATGATCATGACTTTCCTTTGAAGAGTTCTCGTCATAACCTGATGTTTTTTCTGTGATTATTATTGTAAAAGTTCCTATGCGTGCACTGCTCTATAACTGGTGCAAGATCGAGTTTATACGTTGGTAAAGAGATACCTGTCAGGTACGTCCTTAAGCAACGCCAAGGTGCTTGGCCTAGAAATTTCTATTGATTTTTAAAGCCATTCCTTAAATAATTTTTTTAYGATGTTATTTCCTGAGGAATGGTTTCTATCACTTGTTGTTCAAATGTCTACCTGTAGTGCGAACAAAAAGACACTTTTATGTAAACGCTTTATCCAATTTTTTTTTTTTTTTTGCTCTTTATTCCAGAACTGGGAATCCCGCTTATTTGGAAAGTTATTGGTTAGCGCTTAAACACATCTTTTTCGTTATTAGTAATTTCTTGAACGAGTATATCCAATCTCATTTTCTAGACACATACATATGTATATATGTCAACAGCCAATGATATCCCGCCTCGACATAAGATATCCGATATTTGTGTTTCAAGCGACGTGAACGATCTGTTGTTGACATTCTTTGGTGTGTTTTGCACTTTTTAAGGGAAAAATTCAAACTATCTTTCAAAACACTGTATTTTAATTTTTTGGGAAAATATAATAAGTGTTATGGTGTCTTTAACTAAAGACTTAAAATTTAGAACTTTTATTTTAGAATCATTTTTAGAGTAGCTAATTCGAAAAGTGATCGTTTTTAAGAAATGAAAACAACAAGACATTATTTTTCGTTTAAATAAATTTAATATTTCAAATTGATGTTTTTAATAAGGAAAACTTATTTTCCACAAATTGTGATATTGAATAATCTAATAATTAAATAAACATACTATAATATTCCAAAATAGTCTTAATGCGCGTATTTTAAAAAAAAGTTAATAAGCAAGACTTTTTTTCCATTCGCTGAAAGAGAAATAGTTAAGCCACGAAATTTTAGGGATCGGAAAACCCCACGAAACACCACACGAAGTCCTCTACAGTATGCGCTTTCTACCTGCCTTCTGCAAACTTAATCTCCTAATCCTTCGGTGTAATATTTAGTGCCATACGCCATTTTGTTTTAGTATTTTTACCTGCGAACAAGTGCATAAAATCAGATCAATTTTTAATGTCCCAAGCAGAGTATTCTGAGTGTTAATACGGAACACAACTAAACACAACAAACTAAATATTACCCGCTTTTTACAATACGAAAATATATAATAACAATGGAGAAAACTACTTTCAACAATGAAATGCGTGAAGCTTTTGAAAGTGTTCGCATGCTTAAAGAAGCAAAGAACCAAGAGGAATTTAGCAAAGTCATGGACGCTATATACGCTACAACTGACGGATATCTAAACGCAATGATTTCAACAGTTATAGAGAAGAAACAAACATTGCTCAGGAATTTGGAGGAGTTGACAAATGAAGAACTCGAGCAAATGGAAATTTCAGAACCCGCACCGGAAACAAATAAGCGCAGAGCCGCACCGCATGACTATAGCAGCTTCGATGGTTATTGCAACCTTGTGCTCGCGACACTTTCAGATAAACCGCCTATTATGCATGTGCCGTTTTTGTCTCATAGCTTCGATGACACTGATGAGGACCAACTGGATGACGATGATAATGATAGACTAATAATTGACGAATCTACTCAACAGGAACCTCTCAATAATGATGATGTGATTATAATTGAAGAATTGTCTGAAGACGAACCTCATGAGAATGATGATATGCTCATAATTGACGAATCTAGTCAAGAGGAATCTCATGGGGATAGTGAGGTGAATAGTGACAGTCAGTCAGTGCCAAGGGACAGCGGTGTAGAGATTGCGTCTTCAGAGACAGAGTCAGAAAGCGTGAACGGTGAAATAATTGAAACTGTAAGAACCCCAAGTTTACCGGAATCAGTTGCGCAGCTACCAGAGCAAAATCAAAGTTTGAGCAATGAAGCAAATGACACTGTAAGAACCCCTAGTTTACCCGCAACACTTGAGGAGCTACCAGATGAAGATGAAACCTCTGAGTTTATTACGATTGGCCCGAATGGCACACGGGTCTTGAGAACAGAGTTCAACAACATATCTTGGGATTCGGACAGCATCAGTACCAGAAACCTTCTCAACATAATATTTGGTGAAGATATGTTGGCAACACATACACTCAGCGGCAAGCCATCTCCAGCTTTTAAAGGCCGGGAGCGACCAGCCAAAGGGCAGCTGGATATCAACAAAATAGATGATTTGACTCATTGTGTGATGCAGAAGACAGGTTGCAGTGAGCGCGACGTACGCACTACAATTACTACCAAGTGCGCAGACATCGCCAAGAAATATMGGAAAAGGAATATCAATATCAGCTATACGGACTTAAACTAGGAATAATATGTAGGATTTCATACATGTACGATTTATTTAGTATTAAAGAATTGAGTTTTAACTAGGGTCASATTATATATCAAATATAAAAAAATATATTGAGTAGTATGCATGTAAATAAAAAAAACAGCTAAAAACTGAAGTGACTAATTTCAAATTTATTTAAGCCGCGGCAACTTGTTCATATGTGAGTCCAGAAATTTTGGGAATTTTTTTATGATAAAATTTCCATAATAATGGGGGGTTCATTTGTAGTTCAAATAAAAAAGAAAACAATGCGAAATAAGAGCAAATATCTTTATAAAAAAGTTTTGCTGGGATTTTGTTCTACAAATTCTACGTTTGCTTTAAGAGAAGCCTGTTTACTTGTCGCAGTTTTTCGCCGAGAAATCAGAAACTGGTAGAATAGTGTTTCTGGCGGAAAAATGATAAAAGTGGTCGAACAAAATGGTGCATTTTCAGTCAAACGGAAAACTTTTTCGACTGCCCAATATGTTCCGATTTTACTTTACATCAAAAAAGGTCTTAGACTAAGACAACTTAGCCTTTTTAAAAAACCACCACATTTTGTGCTACATATCGGCAGCTGAAATGCAAAATAACGTATTATCAAAAAATTCGAAATTGAGGCTCACTACTTCAAATTAAATACATCATATTACATATATTCAACATTTTSAGGTTCTGCGGTCAGATATAAACCAGTGTTGACCAATATTAAAATTTTGTTTCACTCATGTTCCATTTTATTTCGTGCTTCATTTCCGAAAATGTTGTTCTGTTATTTTGTCTTTCAGGTGACGATATGGAGTTCTATGCTTTTACTTATATGTATGTACAAATTTTAGGTAGTTTTTATAAACGATTTTAGTAAGCGAGAAACAGGAGTAATTTTTTCGAACAGCAAATTTATACAAAATTGTTTAAGATTATATTTATATTTTACAATTATTTAATAAGTCATGTTTCTCATAATAGTAATTTTTATGGCTGACATGTCTTTGAGTGGCGATTTTTGAGAAAAAGAAAAAATTTAGAAAGTGCCAAATTTAAAAGCTTAAATTTTTATTTCAGTTTACAATCATTTATGTACTATTACTTTACACTTTATTATTTAATCCGATTTTATTACAAAACACTTACTTATGCATAGAATATTCGGGATTTAGCCCTTTTCTCTAAGTATTCTTCTAAAATGTATGTACGTATGTGTCTATGTTCGCTGTGTCTAATTCTATAAGCAAACCGTATATTCTTCTATAGAATTATTGAAATATTTTTAACTCAACTCCATAATTTATACCCGTAGTTAATACCTAGCTACTGACATATGTAACACATATAGGCAAAACAGGTACCAACACACTCATACATAATGCAATTTTGTACTCCACCTACAACAAAAATAAAGTAACACATAAAAATTAGCTACTTTTAGTACATAAATATTTCAATTCCAGTAATTATGCATATTTTATTAGCGTTGATCTTCCTCGTTGTATTGCTTTGCCTGGCAGTAACTGAACTGTTTTCCAGCATTTACTTCCATTRCTTTTTGTTTGACATTAGTTATTGTAGCAACAACAACACAATTACTGCATCCAAGCATTTTTTACAGTTATTTATGCACACACATTAAAAAATCGTTGTTGTCGTTTTATTTTTTTTGTTTTGATTTTGCATTTAGCGCACTTTTCATAAATATGTAGATTTATGTTTGGGCATAAATATTTTTTCACATTTTTTTAATTATTTATGCACAAATACATTTTCAAATCCCACCACCAAAAACCCCAGCAACATGTTAACTCTTTAACATTTACATTACTGAGCCGATTGCAAAAACTGCCAGAGAATGCGATAATTTTTAATTTATTCCCCAATCAAATGGTCAGAGGTGGCAAAAAATTTTTGGTTTTATTAAAAAAAAAAAATGTTGATTTCATTTTGAAAAAATTGTTGATTTTATAAAATAATTGTTTATGTTAATTAAAAAAAAATTGATTTCGTTAAGAAAAAAGCGCTTGAAATTTGCAAAATGAAATAAATTGCAATTTGTGGTTTGCGTGTAATTATTTTGAAAGCAAAATATGCAAAAAAAAAAAATTAAGTAAAAATATGCTAATATTTGGGTGAGATAAAAAATTACATTTAGTTAGCCGCACATAAAATTACATAAATTTGGAAAGAACTTCAGTATGATATTTTAAAAATTAATACACATGTGCATTAACATATTTTGATTAGCTTAAATTGTAAAACGACCGAAAAATGGTTGACTGCCTTTAGCTCTTCAGTTTGCGCTATAGATTTAGGTGTCGAAAATTTATTTCAAAATTTAATTTTTTTATTGTAGTACATTTATCTCACCTGCTAATGAAATGTTGTCATTATATCAGATAATAGCCAGTGAAATTATTAGAATAACTGATATGTCAGTGAAGGAGTAGAGTTATCTCCCATGTAAATTTTTTGTAATCCGAAATTCTTTGATGAGTGAAAAATTAATATATTTGAAAATTATAAATTTTAAATTCTAAAACTCATATCAGAGAAATGTAATCCCGATCATAATAGCACAAATAGTGCTGTGAGAAATTGTAAAAATATAATAAGAGTTAAATATAGTTAATCAAAATGTATACAAATAATTCGAAAGGCTTTGAAATCAATAGTTGCCTGCGATCATTGACGGTGCTAAGAAAGGTGCACAACTGCTGGCATGATCCAAGCTTCTCGGTAGATGAAACTGAAAAGCGTTTTTCAACACTGGGAGATATTATCTGTATAATGTCCAACAGATGAAAAAAATAAAAAATTTAAACATGGCGGAGTTTTAAAAAAATAAAGTCGATTTTGCCCAAAGTTATGATTATTTATTACCTGGCCTAGTGATCAGATAATTTTTCATCGAGTAATCTCTCAAACAGACTTCACAAATTTAGTTTTGAGAAAAACGCGTTAAAATTATTCACGTTTTGATGAACCATTTCGCAGGATACCACGAAAGAAAAAACAGAGAAGCTTCAAATTGAATGGGCAATCGAATGTCATTCGAAAGAACATGCTTGAGCATTTATTTTTTGAAGATTTTTTTTTTCAAATGTTTGCCAGGCTAYGGCTCAGATTGTCATCCAGTGAGTAGAATTATCGATGACTCGTTCGAATATTTCAATAAGTAAATAGCGGATGACACTTGTGATGTTTTGTTTCAAAGCCTGAATTGAAGCGGGATTATCCGCATAGASTTAAGACTTTACATATCACTWCAACSGTGTAATATCCCACGATYTTGGTGGCCAATCGTCCCACCCAAAACATGAATTTATCTGCTCTCCGAAGTGTTTTCTCAATAAATCCATTGATTGACGCGATGTGAGGAAAGTCTTGTTAAAAACAAATGTCGTCGAGGTCACGAGCTTCAATTTCAGGCATCGAAGCGGAAAACTTTTTATTTCATTTATAAATATAAATCTTATATGGAATTAAAATTTGAATTCATTTAATTCAATGATTTTTTTTTTCAGTTTATAAAAAAAATAATTAGTTCCAATTACTTAGAAAATAAAAACCATGGTACTTAGCTTAGCTTGCCCTCAATTCACCATTTATTCAYCAACATCCTGAAGAAGCATTTCATAATCCGCCATTTTAGTTTTCAKTTTGCATGCGACACCATCACACATACATATCCTAACATTTTGTCGCTGAACTTTGCAATTAATTAATTATCAACTTTCTTACATTTCAACAATGTTTTGTCCAAAAATCAAAAAAAATAAAAAAATAATAAGGTAATCGCCGCACTGCCTCGGTACGCTCGGTGGGCTATAGCGACCTCTTCGTGCTGAGCAAAAAGGATATGTGGGACGTGTTGAAGGAGTATCCCGCGGCGCGTGTGCGGCTCGAGTCGATAGCGGTGAAGCGTTTGGAGAAATACAAAAAAGCGCCGTTAGAGAAAGGTGTGTAAAAATATAAAGCATAAAATAATAACTAAAATAACTAAAATAACCGAGCGATGCCGTTTGCCCCATCCAAACTGAACCCCATTAAAATAATTGTTATATTTGTACTGAAATTAAGAACTATTATTGCTAATTATTTACTTATTTGTTGGAAACTTTATTTCTTCTAAATTTTATTAATCATAATTAGCATTAAGCCAGAATTAATTGCCCACTAGTTGTGATAGTTATATAATTATTTGTTTGTTGTTTCACATGTTTTATGAACACACCAAATGCTTCCTACCCAAAAAATTGATCCGTATTTCATTATTGTATATATTGCATTTGACAATATAGTAAAATACTTTAATGTAGTTGCCATGGGACGCTGCCAATCGACGCCCGGCTTGGTGGAGAGTTGCGGCCGTACAACATTGGARGATATGTGGCTGCCACCGCCGTCGGCATTGTCCTTCGCGCAGCAACAGCAAATACAACAGCAACAGCAACAACAGCAAAGTGTATCTTATAGGTGAGTGACCTCATTCGGAGAGACAAACAAATATACATTTTTGGAAAAAAATTTTAAAAAATTAATGTCAAGAGAATTCGTAAAAATGTGCAGGCGTAGTGAAGGGCAGACACAATAATGTAAGCTTTATTTCCCAGAGCGCTCTTTTGAATTTGCATACATTATCCAACCTAATGACCATTATATCTTAACTTTATCATACGACATGAGCTCTTCCCCTARTTTAGACCTGCACTTGTCTTGGTTMGCATCTGGGCTGTAAAGCGGCTGCGAAGGCGTTAGGATGCCGGCTTTGGTGGACTATGCCTTTGTTGCCAAAAAAGACAATGTGCATCGTTTTCACTTTSGATTTGCACATTTATCAGCGACCTCTTTCTGGTCCTCCAAAAAGGCCTAGTRCTACCGAAACACACCACTTCTTGCTGCGTAAGCCTGCTTAATCATATCAAACGTCTCTGTCGAAAATTTATCGAGCTTCACACAAAATCCAATCGCGTACCTCTACTCTAACGAAGGCTGCATTTTCGGCTTGCACCACTCACAGAAACCCGTCGGCGAATACGTTTGTCTTGACTCTACAGATGCTCGGAGACAACTGACTAGCTGCTCGTTCGTTAGCTAGCAACGCCTTCTACAGAATCCAGATGGTGCGGGCACGCTACGAAGWACAAWCGCAGCGGAAGAAAATCAGTAATATTACTTTTCGGAGAAACTTTATATTGTGAACTTTAATGTAATTGAAAAATTTGCTCGGARAGAAGCTTGCTACAATACTCTCCAAGTTTTTGACCAATAAAGACGAGGGTTTCTACGAGAGTGGTATTATGAGATTACCTTCAAAATAGCAATAAATATCTGTGGTCATGACCATTCGTGAAAACAGGTTGTCGATTCGGTTTTATATCCGRCRCTCTCACATTTTGARGGGTGACCAAGGAGACTAATAAGATAGCGGTCGCGATTCTCTTCCATTCCTCGTGGGAGATGGCGCCATCCTCCCAGCTGCGATCGAACACGCCAAGTTCTATTGAGCCCGCGATGGTTGGTTGGGTCCCTCATGCGACCTTTGCCGCTAAATCGCTGGTTCAGCTAAGTTCGCGTCTGGTCCTGCCCTATTGTTCTCGCTCTCAGACTTAAAGAAATCTATCTCTAAATATTCTCTGWATATTAATTTTTGAGATTTAGAGCTGTTTTCAACTTTTTAAAGTCTCTACTCGTCATTGAAGGTATGACGTAAGTAATTGAAAATTTTAAGAAGCCTCAGTTATCTTAGTAGAAAGCGTTATTGATCTTAGTGTCATTCAAATTTGTGCATATTATATATTATAATTTATTATTAACTAAAATAGTGAAAATAACGCACATTCATCTCACAGTCGTGCTCCCAGTCCCCGCTCAACAATCACCTATACGGAACGCATAACACGCGCAACCGACTCACCCGGCTCGGTCAGTCCTAGTGTACATAGTTCGGACGATCGGCCGCGCAGTCGGGCCACGTCGCATCACTCAACACGACTACAATCGCAGCCTAGTCGAACAGGTATGTTGGTGATGAAATATTAATTATTCTTTAAATTAACTATTTTCTTTTAATTAATTATTTTGTATGACACATAAAGAAGAGCATTTTGCCTTAAATGCATTCAAAATTATTTCACTACTATTCTCACTTTCCTTGCTTATCTCCAACCCAGGACACATCTGCGATTCCAGTTCGCATTTAGAATGCTACGGTGGCGGTTTGTCCGCCGCTAGCGGTGGCATCGGTGGTGGCGGCACTACGCCACTACTSGGTTCACATGAAGCCTTAGAAGATGAAATCAAACGTCTGCGCGAGCGCCTGCACACTGTGGAGTCGGAGAATCAAGCTCTAAATACGAAATTATCACAGCAACAATGGGATTTAGAGAATCGACTGGCCGAAATCGAGATGCAAATATGCGGTGTCTCGTCGACATCCAGTCTGGATCCGGAGAATGAGACCGAGGAGATGGAACGCAATCGTGAGAGTATCATATAACACGGGAGCGAGCTGCCCCATCAGCCGATCGGTATGATGTACATATCATGTTTAACATGAATCGCATTGTTGTTGTTGTAGTTAAATGTTAAAATTGTCGTTGACATCATCGTTGTACACAAACATTCCAATTATTACTCTCACACACACAACACAACTACAAACTAAACTGTGTCACCCAGCGTGGATGCAAGCAGCAACAAATCAGAACACAATCACCAGTATCACCAACACCCTTGAGCGTCCGTGGTTCAGGAAATGTTAAACTGAAAATATACATTCTTTTATTTATGTATGTATGCTTGTCGCGGTACATCGCATGTCTAACTGTCACTCAATTTTGTGTTTGTATTCCGTAAATTGGCTGACCGAGTATGCATACACACATACACCCTCACACAGGCTCTTGCTACAACTTACACAAATAAACGCCGTCATACGAACCTACCACCACCACTATATAACTGTATACATACATACATGTGTACTAGCAAGTCAATGTGTTTTATTCTCTAAATTCCTTTCATTACATTGTTTTGGGAAAATCAACAACAAACAACAACAAAAAAACAACCTAACTATTCGGCAACATTTTCAATTTCCGCTTGCAACAATGTTTCTATTTCTGATTGCATTGCCGCCTCTGTCATTCGCATCAGCAATGTCATCATTATACTCGTCATCACCATCACCATCATCATCAACGCTATCAGTGTCACTGTTCGCCAAGCATCAGCGATCATCTTCGTGTTTATTCAAAATTTGAATTGTTCCTAAAGACAAACTAAAAAATATAAGTGTTTCAAGAATTTTAGATTTTTAYTAGATGTGAATAAACAGTGATTGTTTTTGTTTTCATCAATATCAGAGACTGTGGAGAAGTAACCGAAAAATGCAAATAATTATAAAATTATAAGAAATGTCAAGAGAAAGCAGAGATTTTKAAGTTCGTCGAACAAAATGTTACATAAAACAGAGTCATAGCGAATAATGCCCTTAGAATGTTATCCATTAGATTATATTTTGGATAAGTTCTATAGACCCTCTATTACTTTATCCGTTTTGTGTTTTCTTTCACAAAATTGTATAGTTTTTTTCCTAAGAAAAGCATGCACATTAGTATTATTCACAGTATTGTCCATCTGAAGTTAGAACATTTTTCCATTTTACCGGCGATTTGTCGAGTCCAACCCAAAAKAATTGTACCGGCTGGACGAATCGTGTCAATTTATGACACCCTATTGGGATGTGAACTGTAAGTTTTAAAGTTTATCAGCCGCTATTTTTCAAATATAAAAAATTTCCAGAAACATGAAGCCGAGCGTTGTYCTAATGAAAAATTATTGTCTCGTGTCTAGTCGCCCATCGGGCAGGGGATAAAATTTTCTCCCGATCGGGTAAGCCTGTCATAAAATGCGACTAAAATCCTAGTGCATAYTGTCTGTTTTTTATSTTGCCTCARAATTTCAGCATAGAAGAAGTAGTATAATACTCAGCTTGAACTGATATTGTAGACTTTGRATGATATTTTTTATAATCAAAAGACATTTGAAGTTTAACCGATAAATGTCACCAGTCATTGAGTTTGCTGGGTGGTCAATTGGTAGCAGCAAATGTTACGAGGTTTGACCGAAACTATAATCTGGTACGACAGGGAACAGCTAACCTTTGGAGTTCTCTCCAATCAGCTCTTTGGGTTTGATTCTTTGGGGATATTCGTGATGGCTTTGGCTTAAACCTAAAGGCAGGTGGAGTTCAAAGTGGAGTTGCACTGCGGCCAGCTGCCGAACTCGAAATCGACCAAGGGAAAAGGTATGGCTTCCACACGACCAATTGGAACCAAATAATAATTTCAAAGCACATTTATAAGCTTTTAAGCACCGTGTGGTAAATTTGTTGAATTGTGGTATGWAGTGTTCCCCAACGATGGTTTTAGGCGGCTTTAGAAACTCATAATACAGAAAATATAGAATCCAATTTCCTTGCTTTTGAATGGATTCAGSTGGATTTAAACATTTCTAATTGGCTGCATGTGTGCCTGCTAAAGTTCCTGTACTTTCTTCTTGTGTTTGGCAACAATCTTCATCGAGTAATACTTCCAGGTTTTCATCTTTCAATCCACAATCACCAGTTTGAAATCGTGGAAACCACTTTTGGCACATTTGCTTAGGTAGGGCATGTTCATTATAAACTTTCACCAAAACATGATAACTTTTGGCTGCGATTTTTTTTGGCACAAAGTTCAATATATTTGAGTGTAAAAAATTGAACAAGCTTCATCAACCGATTTTCCATCTTCGAATGGAAACTGTTGGACCATCCTTATTKACTCGTCAAAAGCTTCGGGAACTTGATTGAGAGGTTCTTATCYCCTTTATAGAATGGACCGGGAGCCAAATGATTACTCTTTTTCCTTTCGGTGGCGAATTTTAGTGCGAATGAAAAATTTGCTCCAAGAGAAGCTTGTTACAACACACTCTCCAAGTTTTCGATCAATAGAGACGAGGRTTTCTACAAGAGTAGAATATGAGATTACTTTCAAACTTCCAACAAGTTATCGAACAAAACAGTTTATATTAGACTTGAACCAGATGACGCTATTCTAAATAAAACCTTCAATTGAATTCAAAAATAATGCATTTATTTTTACTAGGCCGAAAACAGAAGGTTTATGGTTTATGAAAAAATCCAAGTATTTTTTCACTTCTCATTATCAAATTGTAAATACAAAACCCTGTGGAAAAGGAATTCAAACCATCATTAACCAATTTGTTTACCGGAAATTCTATACAATGTTATACACAGGATCTATGCCGAATATATTTGGACTAACAGTTCCTCTGAATTCTTCTACTTACAGAATGTACTTTATTTTTGCAACAGTCTCTGATATTGTTTTACTAAAACAACCTATATTTATTTTATAAGATTTTATCTTCCTAGATGTAATATGAATGTATACTTTTCTCACACACTACTTACTTACCATAAAAACTTTTTAACCCACACTTTAATGCAATTTTGCTCATCAAATGCCAAACTTTGCTCACACAACAAACTCTAAACTATTTCTCGAAAATCTATGTATATGTTTGAACAACAACAATAACAAAAATAAAAACAACAGGAGCAGCGACAACATCTACAGTGAAGTCRGAGGAAAATCGAGGGGAAATGAATGTGTCCAGCGCTCTGACATCAACTGAGCCAGAGACGTCAAAGTATTCATGGTCACGTTACCTGAACATGTCTACRCAGACGCCACCCTCGCGCCGCCATCAACGACCCAGCATGCAAGTGGATAGCGCCGAAGATGGCGATGATGATGACGACGACGACGATGATGAGGATAATAACGTAGACGTTGACAGCGATGGCAAGGATAATGAAAATGACAATTTGATTGAGTCCGATGAAGAAGGCGAGGCCACCACACATTTCGTTGGCAGTGCTGGTTGCAGTAGTGGTAGCGTTGGTGCCGATGCTTATAAGCCACACGCCTCTACGTCGGACGCAGCTAAAGCTCGTGATCGRCATGCAGATCGGGTAGCCAAGCTTTCATCGATTTGAGAATTTCCGCCAAACCGATTAGCGCTTTACAGCGAGTCATACATACGCAGGCGAAAGTACACGGTGTATGCCCAGATGCTTTGGTTTGTAGGCTTAGAAATATTAGATGTAATTTCTTTTCAATGTACAGGTGAGAATCGTAGCTTTACCGTCAGCATATTCTATAAATGCAATTCGTGTACATCCCAGGTAGCTGCCAAATAGTTTTTGTATGTATTAGAGTAAGGTACCACAGAAGCCAATCACGCACATAACCGCACACATACATACCCTTTGATTCATAAAAATTGTTGCGAAATATTGAACATTCCACGGATTTTTCTCTCGCTAGATTACTACTTAGTTCAATTTCAGGATGAATTCAATCGCATATGGGAACCCTAGCAATATGAATTCACGTCGATTAAAATGCTGTTTCTTGCTGTCCAGTTATGGTGCGAAAATGTTTTTGAATATTAGAAGAGCGGACTAGAGATTTGAACTCATATTTGTTAGAAAGATTTCTGGACTTTTCAGTCTCAGATTGCCCACAGCATCTATAATGGTCCTACAACCAGTCTGCCTGTAAAAATTTGAATTTACTTCAAGCATACGAGGTATGTTCAAAAAGTATCGCGAATTTTGAATTTTCGCGGGTACAAAAAAATGGCTCAAAAAACGAAATTAAGTGCGCGGATGCATTCCGAATGTTGACTGTGGCATACGGAGAAGCTACCTTGGACCGAAGCAACGTTTATCCGTGGTACAAAATTGGCTTTTGCACCACGATAACGCCCCTGCTCACACATCGTTGCTTGTGCGCGACTTTTTGGCCAAAAACAACACACTAATGATACCGCAGCCACCGTATTCCCCAGATCTGGCCCTCTGTGACTTTTTCTTGTTCCCTGAAGAGGCCCATGAAAGGACGACGTTACGCTTCTCTTGACGAGATAAAGACGGCATCGAAGGAGGATCTGAAGAAGATAAATAAATAAATGATTTTTTGAAGTGCTTCGAAGATTGGAAAAACCGTTGGCACAAGTGTATAATATCTCATGGCGATTACTTTGAAGGGGGCAAAATAGATATTCATGAATAAATAAATAATTTTGAAAAAACACAAAATTCGCGATACTTTTTGAACACACCTCGTACATAAAACCTAGAAATTTGCTGAGATTCTTTCATAAGCCCCTACCCTTAGTGCTTTTCGTTATGGATATATATCTAGTTCACATCTAACTCTGTTTCGATTATGATTCACACCTAGTTAATGTGACAGCATAAACAACCGATGGTTGGGAATAAAAAATAACAATGCAGTTCCATTTGTTTTGAAATTTCAAAGGCGTTTTTATACATATTTTGGAACGGGCGATTTTTAATCAGACCAAAAAACTGGTAGGTCATTGTATGAAGAACTTTATATAAAWTGTGCACGAAGTTGATAGCGATCGGATCATTTGTCTCGGAGTAATCACTACAGAAACTTCAGAGCCTACTAGTTATTACGCAAAAAATACGTTACAGATATACTGATAAAGCTAATTAAATCAAGCGGTTATAAATTACGATACTGTAACTCAAAAACTATATGAGATATCGATGCAAATTTTCAGATTGTAATTTTCACAGCTATGAGCTAAGGAAATATGAAAAAAAAAATTTCTTTTAAACTTCATACTAAATGTGCCCTTTGAAAATCATTGCTAAGTATCTACGAAGTCAAACACGCTTCAAAGACATGCTTCAGAACTCTCTTGCATTGTAAGCTCAAAGAGGTATTTCACAATTTAAATTCTTTTTAAAATGCTGTTTAGCAAAAACTAAGAAAAAAAGTTTGAAAACTTGATACCTGAAATCTATTCATGTTCATTCGAAATCAATACGCAAAACATATGCTTCAATACTCGCTTGGATCATAAGCTCAAGGAATTTACTTTACTCTTGAAATCCTGGTTAGCAGCAACAAAGAAACAAAGTTCAAATACCGGATTCCTGAATTCTAGTCCTGTTCTAAGTGATCAAATTCGTCTTAGTTTCCAACTCTTACTCAAACACTATAAAGTCCACATGGTGACAATTGGACATTTCTGATTTTGTTCTTATGAGGAATATTCAGAATAATATATTAAACTCTTGCATTCCCAGTTCAAAATATTGCACTCAATACCTTAAAAAATCAAATTACACCAGTTGTTGTCTCAAAACATGTTTGTGGCAACACTTTCACAGTAAATTTCCAGATTTACGTCATACAAACCCCAACATGCTCCCGAACGTGATCTAACACTGCCATAAAAAACAGTTTTCGCGGTGTAATCGGCACAATCCGAGTACCGACGATAGTCACACCACACACCCGCGCAGTAACCTCTCAAATAATATATCACCGCCAACAGTCACTCAAACACCGTTAGAATTGCTCATAATTGATGACGCCATACACTTTGTAAATAATAGTTAATCATTACAATTTGCTGTAAATATATTATAATCATCTTAGATTTTTTCTAATTGGACGAACATTTAGCTCTTGAACACACACTACCACAGCTTAGTATATATATATACATAACGGTACAAGTACAAGTGAAAGCGTGTGAGTAGGGCGTGGCATGTAATGGCGCCCAAATGCACTATTGTGCTTTGTAATTATAATCTAAATGAAATAGCTCGATAAAAATAATAGAGACTTAGGGCATATTCAAACAAAAATCAACACTGTAAAATATATATACAATTTTAGTACGTAAGTGTCGTAGTTATGGTAAGACAAATTCTTGAGTAATCTATTATAAATACTTGTAAAATGTATGTAGTTAAGAATTGAATAATCAAAAAATAAGTTATACTCGAAAAAGGTTTACAGTTATTCAAGAAAACGCATTAGAACAACATTCACTTACATACATAMACATTTACATACGTTCATCAAACGAAATTAACATAATTACGATTCAATAAAACATAAACTTATTAATAATAATTGTCATGTGTATATTGGAAACGATTTACTTTAAATAAATAAAATACTTGAAATTAATTAGGTAAGAAGAAGAAAAAATTATAAAAAGAAAAATCAATGAAATAACTAAACAAATTTGTACTATTGGAAAAGAACTGCCAAACAAATGAGTAAACAAACAGAGAAATAAAAAAAAATAAAAATAAAATAATAATTATAAAAAAAAAATAAAAATAAATTATAGAAAATTAGCGGCGTTGTGAAAATTAAAACTAAAACCATTATTATTAATAATAATTCCAAAAAAGTCAGAAAGAATGGAAATCAAAGCTTTTCAGCGTCAACGTCAGTATAACCAAGAGATATTCACTAAATGACCAAAATTTGCATAAAATAAATGAAAAAAAAAATGTAATAGCAGAAATCACCAGAACTAATGAGCCGAAAAAAGCGCTAATGAAAAGTAATTAATTTGTGTAGTTTTAAAGCATAGCAGTTAATATGTACCAATAATTCCAATGACTTGTCTACAAACTACATAAATATATAGATAACTGTGTATGAWCAAAAATTAATGATCAATAACGGTATCAAGCAGCAGTTGCTAATGTGAGTCAAGCGTATTTTGTTGTTTTGTTGTCATTGTATGTAATGTGTGTATGAAAGTTTGTAAAATTTTAAAAATTACTAAACAATAAAAAACCTAGTGCAGACAAATTAAAATTAATAAAAATAAAAGTAAATACAAATGCAAAAAAACTAAAAACAACCCAAAAATTAATGAAATTATAATAAAAAATTACGGYATTTTCAAAATAGGTAAATGAGTTTAGCAATTAATATTAAATTTAAAGCAAGCCAACAAACAAATAATGAACTACCAAACAAGGAATGCGAAAGCAAAACTAGTGGAAAATAATTAGTTTACAAAAACTCAATGAAAATCTAATTAATTAGCACATAAGTAGCAGTTTAAATTTAGGTGATACGTCAAATTTAAATTTATCGCTGAAATTACAAAAACAAAAATCATTGAATTTGGTAGAAAGGCAAGTGGAAGTTGGTAAGGTGT